AATGGGCTGATTAATCGCAATCTTTTATCTTTTACCAAAGATATATCAGAAATACCTAATTCATTCCAAATATAACCTGCAATTTGTTCAGAGAAATGTACGTATTCAATGTGAAATTTTTATATTTTTAATAAAAAGTATCGTTGGTATCATTTCGTGCAGCTTCTCCAAGTACAGATGACCGAAATTTTGTACGTTTCTGAACAGATTAGCCTCACAGCGCATTATCGCTGTTTTCTTTTTCAGAGTGTTCTGGTGAATGCATCGCAATTATTCGATAACACGGTAGACAAAACTCCAGATGGCCTATCGAAACTCTCTTCAAAAATCTCATTCAGTTTTCCAATGGTGGACTTTTGCCAGCAGTGCAGCCCATCCATTAATGATTCGTCTGAAGTATGCACAGATTTAATGTTAATTAATTATTTTTTCAGTATTTATCGTCTGAATCTTATTTCGATATATCTGTCGAGGCTTTGGCATAATATTACTTAGGTTCCAGCGAATTCAGTGAAATGTAGCAAATCCGTCGCTACTGCACTGGCATCAGTAGCAAAACTGGATCCTTGTGTTCGTTCGAATCCTGAATCGAATGGTAGTGAAAAACGATTTCTTTTATACAGTCTGTTAAGAGTAATGTTTTAGGACATTTGGTTGGTGATGGAGAAGATCGGTCTTCAGGTGAGTATTCTAGTCTATTATGATCTGGTCAAGTTCATAGCGACTATTCGGTTTTAGCTTCGTTTAACCTTTCGAAGTCAAATAGCACAAGCTTTACGAAAGCAATTTGCGACATCGAATACGAGGTGTCGAGGACGATTTCAGCAGCGGAGCAATTTTTAAAATGGCTGAGAAATCAGCAGAAACCGGTAGTCATTTTTCTGTTAAAGTTTAGTTTCAGTTTTCAGCGTAGCGTTTTAGGCTATTGAGCGCGAAGTTCTAGACGACAAATTCTTTGACGTCTTTATGCACCTTTACCTCTTGAAAAAGCGCATGCCGGGTCAAACAGAATCGCTGTCTGTAAGTCTATTTATTTTCGTAGGAAACTATGATTGATTTAAATCAATGAGATAGCATCTTCCGATAAAAATTTATCTTTACTACTTGGTGGTTCTTAGGGCCGTTGCTGGGGTTTAATCATCAGTCATCACCTTTATTGAAACTTCTTACAGGATCTCGATCTGTTTAAAAAGATCTTTTGCCTTAACTGGTTATCTGTCGATTTAAGGGATGAAAATAGCAGGAGCAACTGACCATTCCGGATGTTTATTACTCGTTTCAGCCATAACTGATTCTTTTCTGTTCCCATATTAAAGGTGCTGTGGCATGTGGTGAATTAGTTTCGAAGCATGTTTGAGCACTAGGAGAAAATGGGAGAGAATTCTCATGTTTATGGCAGCAGTATAAATATACCCTATCGCAGTGATTTTATGATTGGTTTGGGATCTGATTCTGAGCTTCACTTGACAACATGTTTCGTAATTTAAATGGC